CCTCGCTGATTCCGAGGTGGCGTATTGCAATTTCGCCACAGGTCGCCAGAGCTAGCTGACCGGGCACAGCTACCTCAGAAGGCTTCTGAGGTATGTCTGTATTCTACTACCAGCAGTTACTAATTAAGTTATGAAAGTTGTAACAGCACTTTGCTACCGAAGAGTTAGTGAATAGCCCTACCTTGTTTGGGAGTGCAAAAGTGTACGTAACAATACAAAAAAGGAAACCCAAGAAAGAATAGTATAATCAAAAAGAGACTTCAGCGCGCGGAGTCGAATGTCGTATCTATAGCTTGTGAGTGCGTGGCGTTACCTACTGAGCCACAAACGAGCTTATCTTTTGTTTATTGCTTTCTTGACTACAGATAAAGATAGCCTAACAATCATGCATCACACCCGTTTCATGCGTGTGAAAAGTATTAGATCTTCATCACAGTCATTCGTCTGATACACATCACGCACCTAAACTGCAAATAATTAATTTATTTTTTACTATATTATCAATCCCATTCGGAATCATTTAAAGAGAAACGCAGTGTGACATTCAAATATAATAAAGAAACAACATGAAAAAGAAATTTCTAGAACATAGTTAGTTACTAAGTACCAGGCCCTCTGCATATCATCTACAGCATCCGTATTGAACCAGTGTGGCTCAAGTAATGAAAATAAATGAAATTAAAGTACATCGCATCATAACCAAAAAGACATCGTAGGCATACGCGTAAGCATAAGATGAAGAGAAAAAATAGTGTGATGCTTGTATTGCATAGATGCATTGAGAAGATTACAACAGCCAATTTGCCATACAAAAAGAACAATCATAACAAATGAAAGGGCTATTGCAATTACATGGTCATGACAGCGTTTTGTAATGATGTCACGAATGCGTTTACGCACTTTGCATTACTGATTGATCTAGTTCATTCCCTTCTCTAATTGCACGAAAATAAATGGGAGTATATGTTTGAAGTTTTGCGTTGGTTGAGTATTTAGTGAATGTTTGGGAGTGTTTCTGTCTTGTTGATCTTATAGTGTTAAATGAGGTGAACTTGGTTTTATAAATCTTAATGTCTCTATTCGTACAATAGGATAAAAGCTTTTGTCTTGCTATTTTAGTTCTGCTTCCTATGGTTAGTAATCAAGCTTGCTTTAGCAATTCTGTTGGCGAATTCGTACTCTTGTGATTGTTGAACACAAAGTGAATCGCTTTCCGTTGTATGCCTTCTAGTTGACATAGAAGTTTTTGGTATGAGGAAACCACGCAATTATGGCATATTGTAGCATTGGTTGAATTAGTGTAGTGTAGGCCAAAAGCTTTGTTATTGACCGTGCGAGTCACAGTCGATCTCTAGAGCGAAAAGCCTTCTTAGGGCTGGTGAAGTAATGTTGTTTAAGTGGGTTTTGAGCCTGAGATCATGTGACAGTGTCAGAGCAAAGTATTTGTGTTTTTCACCTGCGGAATTGTATTGTCGTTGATTGTATAGTGAAGTAAAAGTCCCCTTTTTACGAGTTTCTGAGAGTGATGCTCATTGTTTCATGTTAATTATCATTCGTTATTCCTAGCACCAGTCATGAACATGGCTTAGGGCTTCTTCAAGTGTCTCTTGATGAGATGATGAATTTATTTCGCGGTATAATATGTAGTCATCTTCCAAGAGTTGGAATGTCACATTGCTTAGGGACGGTAAATTCTTTGTGTACAAAGGGAACAACATAGGTGCGAGAACACTGCCATGCGGTGACCCTGATGTGACGGGTTGTGATGAAGATGCTGCATCGTTGCCGATCTGTTCATATTAGTCATTTTGAGTAGTTAAGCTTCGCAATTTTAATGGTTTACTAAGGCTCTGATCCTTGTGGTTAGCATTCTGCGAAATACTCAAGAACAGATGGTACTCTAATTTCACAGTGTTTACGCACTTGGTGGAGATGTTCTAAAAGGAAGTAAGCATATATGTGGACACTACCTAACCCCAACCCTCTTTTTAAAACTGGGCAGCAAGTTAGGTACGTCATACCAAATTTTGATTAAGTAAGAAGATCACATCTATTTGCTGAGATAAGTTTCCAAACGATGAAAAGCACTTTTCGTGAAGATTAAGAGGTGAATCTAACTTTAAAGCCCTCTGTAATACGTCGCCGAAGAATATGGCATTCTAACAATCAATAAATACTTGTTCAATAGTTTATAGCTTATAACACAGAAAGCACGCATTTAGAGAGGGTGCATATATCCCTCTGTCTTCCGGCTATGGTTTCACAGGCCAAGGTTCCTGTATGTAGTTTACAAAAAGAATGTTTTCTACGTTAGGCGGTATTCACATGTTTTAAATCGTCTTAGAACATCTTGGCCAAGTTCGTTTTTAAACATTGACCTATGAAGGGGTACAGAGTATACACTGCCTATTAAGTCATTACGAAGGCATTTCTTTTCACATTAGATAATTAATCCACAGAAAACATTGCCCTTAAAGATCAATATGACAACAAAACTTTGCAGAAGAACGGTGTCAAGGAGTATCCCTCCTCTCTCTCTGACGATACAAAACAGTCAGGCATGAGAGGATATGACAGTGCTTGGAATAAAGAGAATAAAAATGCATCTCTTTGGTCTCTTAACAGCATGAAACGAGGATAATACTTAGTTCAGAAACGGATGGCACAAACAAAGACCTCTTTTCTTAACTAGTCGAAACAAATTTGTTCTTGATGTGCACTCTCTTGTAGAGCAACAGATGAATGTAGCAAACACCCTGTGAATTTTCTGAACGCTTCTACCTGCGCAACTAAGTGCTTGTAAATGGTACGTAACTTTTAGTCGGTAGAAAAACGTTACGCATTGCGGACCAAGCAAAAAATTGATATTTGCCGGGCACCCCTTGTTTCAACTGTCACCCGCAATTACTCTGTTTTCTCAAACGAATGTGATTCTCTGACTTTATATCTGTCCAGGAAGACACTGAAGTAATGACTATGTGTCGTGAGCCATTGCGTATTTTGAAAAGAAGCGGGCGTAAGCTCCCAACTGCCGTATCACAAAGTGACGTTTTTATCCTTACTTATCAATCATCATACAGCCAGTTGTATCGCAAAACATTTGAGTAATTCTCAATCATGAATGGACACTGCCTGTATCAACAGCAAAAAAGCAATATGAATAGCGTAAGACAAGACATGACCTTCACATGCCTGTACCACATAACCTTCAATTTCATTGCGGCTAATAACTTTCCTGCAGAGTGCTTCTAAAAATAGAGCAGAATGTAAAGGGCCTAACGAACATCCCTGACGCACAGAGAAAAGTACTTGCTATGCGCTGACGAAATTGTTCATTCACAAGTAAGTTTGTAGTTGAGGTTTTGTATGCCATACCTTTACATGTGCACATGGCCGAACCATCAAACGACCGAACTTAAAGGGGGACAGAAGTCGATGGTGAACAGTGTGGTGCTCATAACACACTGTTGGCGGAAAAATAGATGCGTCTAGCCTTGAATTGGTTTAGGCTTGAATTTTTTTTTTTGCCTACACGCATTCATGCATGTGGTACTGATTAAAGCGCAGCGGACTTCAGCAATCATGGCAGTCTGTTGAGGATGACCAGGTCACTCACAAGTGAATGGTTTGTAGAATAATCGCTACAGTTACTGCAAATATTGTTTGAATTCATCAATAGTTCCTGCAGAAGGAGTAATATTCCTGTTCTAGAGATGATGTCTCTGGATCAGGAGTTAGTCCTTAGGAGAATATCCATCTGCTTTCCCAAGGATCATCACTGAGCGTGAACAATTAGTTTCTAATGAGAGTTACATCTGCTTCGTTATTTACCATTTCTAAACATCAGCTGTTATTAATACAAGGAGTAACCACCAGTCCTGTCCGTAGCAGCCGTTATTTATTTTCTAGTTCATGTATTACGGACTAAGTGCGTTTCATTATGCAGTTCATCCCCAAATCGATTATTGGCGGTGTCAAATCTATTTATTCCTCAAGTGGACTAACTTGCCTGCTATCGTTCAGTTCTTTTTAAACACTATAGCTTTTCTTGGGGACCTTCAACGAAACATTTTATTCCGTCTGTCTGTATATTTGTCAGTTTGCACACCCTAACGATACCTCAAACGGCATCAAACAGCCACCCCATTCGCAGCGCCCACCAATATTGCTCAAGGTTTAGCGTTCATAGTTGTGCGATTGTCAATTAGAAAGCAATTTTTGCGCATATCTGAGGCGCCACAACATCGCTTAGATGTTTTGTATGTTTGCCTTTATACTACAGAAGAGGCACTTACAAGTAATTCTATATATAAGGAATGTAGTGTTTATCGCGCTGCACTGACAGTGCAACGCGATGCTCAAAAAGAAGTTTCCAACGCTTTGCTACGACGTCACGGTGGTGACACCTGCCCGTCGCTTTGCGTTGCACACCTTATCACTTCCGAGACTGGCATGCATCTTTCTTCTCAGGCTGCACGCCTTCGTTTTCGAAGATAACTGCCAGGTGACGCTTGTATCTAACGGGCCTCGATGCGCTCGTTCGCTTCCGCTACACGCTTGAGGCACCCTAGCGCAGCGCCTCCAGAATACCATTAACCGATTTTCTTGCGCATAACGTCAAATACACGTTTTGTTCACTCTCTCCAGACGCAAGACTATCGTCTTTCGACGACATTGGCGGTGCAACATGCAGATTTGGAACCAATTTCTTTGCTTAGGGTGTAACCAATATGAAATAAAAACAACAACCACACATTGCAAGATACCCAAGCTGATTAATATTCAAACCAAGGCCCTGTGAGTGGCACAGGGCCCTGTACAAGCCCCTGTACAAGTGCACTTGTTATAAACTTCTGTTTCCTCAAGTGTGCTTAAAAAGGCTTAGAAAAGCCACTATTATCTATTTCGTTGAACACAGGCCTAGCTTATTAAAATGTATTACACACAAAAAATAAAGCATAAAAATGACCATTTCGACTAATCAAAGAAGCACTGACGACTAAGTTTCACCAACTGTTTATTTAGAACAGGTAACCGTCACATGCTGCAAAGCCATCGCAGTGTACTATCCAGAAACACTGCGGACTGAACTGAAGCCTCTCCGACTCTTACACTACGATAGCTAAACTGTCTGTGCTGTGCGTGGCAGAAACTGTGGCTAACATTCATTCGAGTGCTTTCTGAACAAAAGCTCTAAACAGGCCAAAGAACTCGTCATTCCAAAATTCATTCGCAAACGAGGACAGAACCCGGCTGAGCACTCCGCTAAAAATTCTGCCTACTGATCCGGCACCTTCGATGATAACGTGAACATTGTGCGTGTTCACAGGAACCGTAGGGCCTTCGTAGCGGAGAACGGAGTTGCCAGCGAAGCCCCCTCCTTCTACGCGAAAGATGACGGTGAATCGCGAGAACTCAGCGTGCATCATAACTTTCCCCTCGTTGCCGGAACATGTGCGCCAGGGAAAGTAAAACGCTACATCGGCGTTGTCGATGAATTCCACCTCCAGGAAGCGCTGCTTGTCCACGCAGAAGGGCTTCAAGGCACCGTACCGCTTGATCTGGTTCATACCAGCCGCGACTACTCCACCCACTTCGAGACCTTGGAAGACGGGCTGAAATTCATCTCCTTTAACGGTGACATTTTTCGGAAGTGTGGCGAGAATTCGTTCCACCGCACCGTCCAGGTCAATGTCAGAAAAGTCGCAATCTGTGGGGCAAAAATTACGAATATTACTTTGCTGCTATGACATCGGAAAGAACCGTTGTTTTGTTCAAGTCGTTTAAAAAAGGATTTTTGTGCCTGTATTGTCTCCGCTTCGCGCAAGCTGCAACTTTTGATTTGAACTCTCATGTGCAAACTTGGAATTCTGTCATTGGCTAGGGTACTCATAAACGCCTTACATACTCTTCAAGACCCTCATGAGCTCCCTTAGGCAATTAAGTTACAAATTTAGGGTGAAACTTTTTTTTGATGTTGCACCGCTACCAGTCAAACAACTTTGAGAGCCAAACATCGCTTTGCACTGCCCCCTGAATTGAAAGCACACCACGGTTTTTTATTAAGTAAAAATAAACAAAAATATTTGTCACCATTTTTTTTACAGAATTCTCGATTGAACTAGCCTTCGATGACGCTACGAAGTACCGTGATGAATGCATTATGCGACGTAACATGAAGGTATGATGAAGTTACAAACTGTCACTTGACGTTTTGGTATACTTCGTTAGTGAGGCCGCAGCATGCCGGTAGTCGAATCCCGCGTTGAGTGAGACATATAAGGTTTTTACTTTAATACAATGAATGTGTCTGTCCATAATGTGGGGTTCCTCAGTGATATTGAAGCACTCGTTTAAGCTTAATTGAGAAAGTGTGAGGCACAGTGACAGAGCGTTTACGAGATTTTCTTTTATTTCGTTAGAACCAGAAAAAAAAAACATGCAGGTGATAGTATTGTGCAGGCAGCCGCATGACTTTGTATGTGACATATTTTAGGAAACAAAAATACAAAAGACCTGCAAGGATTCTAGTGAATATGACCTCATTTGAAGGATACCTGTTCGTAGTAAAATGTATATTAAAATACACTCCCCAGAAATGTTAGCAGCAAACGAAACATTACTGAGGTATTTATTAGGGCTCTGAGAGCTGCTTTTATGTTAGTCATATACCCACTGCGTTTATAAAGCTTCTCACATTTGTGGAATATTTGAGTCATCATTATCATGCATCGCACATAGATCACATATTGTAATGTCCTAAGGGGAGGTATTTGAGGCTTGCTATTTACATGACTCTAAATATTGAAGGAATCCTAGCGCTGTAGAAATTCTGGCACAGGTATTCTTACACCAATTGTGACATCACCTCTGAATGTTTAAAAACCCATATATATATATATATATATATATATATATATATATATATATATATATATATATATGAAACTTAACAGACAATAATGCCAAGGAAAGTATAGGGGAAGTCAGTACACTGATTTGTAATATAAATATCAAGAAAAAAGAAAGTGTGGGTGAAACGACAACTTGCCGTGGGCAGGAATCAATATAAATTTATATAAATTTTTCTTCCTTACACACACACACACACACACACACACATACAAAACACGTAATCTTTCTGTCAGCGCCAATCACAAAGACGCGTTGGAGGTAATGTTACAAGCACAACTTAGAAAGATATCTTACCGCTGCTCGTGACGTAGGCAGCAGCAGATGCTACCATAAAGAGCGCAAGAATAGATAATTTCACAGCAGTCATGACGATTTACTCGGACCTGAAAAAGAAATAGGCTTCACTGATTCGTGTAGACACCACTTGCTAACAATTGTGGGTGTGGAATGATTTGTCCTAGCTTGGCCCATAAACTATGGCCGCTTTTTTCGTATGCACAGATGCAAAAAGAGAGCATACAATTGAAAATGGGTTTTAAAAACAGTGGCCTAGGGCAGCGTCAGACCATTTCAAGTAAATACTTTTGGCAATGCTTCCTTTGCTGTGTCATGTTTCGCTGAGGAACTTCACGTGCTGACACCATCAGTATTAGAATGCCCCACTCGTTATATTCATAAAGATGAAGTATTGAAGTGGTGAGCTTGCATAGCAAGCTCAACGGGAAGCGAATTGGTAATTTTTCACCGATCAATTTTATTTTAAAGTGACTAATATAGGGAGAAACAACACTAATGAGAACTATACTGTAATTACACTTGCGTTGAGTTGCATTTCAACTTATTGTGTATTTCTGTACATGTGATCTGTAAGGTGTAAGATAAAAGCTAATAATCATTCAAATATTCTGCAGGCAGGAATTGATTCCAAGCCTGATGGTTCGAAACTAGACCGAGCATTCTTACCAGAAGATTCTTCTACATAAGTAACTTATTCAAATGAAACATCAAGTAGATTGCGGCAAATAGAAGCTTACCGAACTTACCGTAGTGAGCCCTTTCCACAAAAACAGTTTTAAGAAATAAGCAGATGAAAGTTGTCAATTGAAAAAATGATTACTTATTGGAGTGTACTTGTGGAACTGAATGGCGCCTGAGGGTTGTCCTTATGGTGGCCCTTTTTATATCAGCGGCACTTTTGCCCTTGGCTACAATCAGTAAGCCTTGGCCTGCGTCGGAAGCACATCATCCAGAATCAAATGTCAGCAGTTGCCACATTTTTCTAATTGCGCAATTAGGCACCGGAGTGTACATCCGCTCCTAATATAGAAACACTGACGAGGTGGAAGTGGGCGTGCCTTGTGGCTGGCTACACAAGAGTAATCAACTCAGATCACGTAGAAGAGAGAACTTTCAAACAAGTTATTTCCGCAGAGCCCTGATATGAGGGGAGAAAACATTTTTTTTGTGCACCCTTATTTTCTACTGTGTTCGTGTGCGTCGTGCTGCTGATATTGGAAACAAAAATAATTTGTATACAGTATTGAGTCTAATATCACAACATGGAACCGAGTGTGGTCGTTAACTTCGGATTCGATGTTACCCTTTAGCAATGAGAGTACTTCTGTAATGAGGTACCGATCCAAAAACATGATCGGTAATCATTTTTCTGAGCCTCACTGAGAGTATCGGGATAAAAACTAACTGTATGCAATCGATGCGCCAAGTAACAGCATGAAAGTAATTCATTTGGGCTCGATAGCCGCCGCTTCTCGCTTAAAGATGTTATAAACTATTGGTGGTAATAACCGTATTTCTCAATATATAGTTCATTGGAAAAAAGTAATGCTTCTTATTTGTTTCGGTTTGGAGCTAAATTTAGCTTCCATACTGTACACAACCAATACAGTGATGCATGTGGACGTTGCCAAGAATTATTTTTCAATTCTGCTTAATTTACACTCGTGCATAGATATATAAGTGGTAAAAAAATAGAAGTCTCAGCTTTTGGCTCAAATTGTTCTGTGTGAAATGTCACAACGATACTTTCGCATATTTTAAAATTTTGTGTGCACGTTGTTACATTTCTACGAGTATTTTATCAAATGTTCGGAGGTTCGCCTGTCAATGCCCATTGTTTCTCACTGTACGCTGCTCATATATAGCCATTTTTGCAGTTATACTCATCCATACTGCCTGAACAAAACTACGTGTTACATCTTCATCGTGTCGCTGAAAAGGAAACTGCACAGCGAAGAGGAAACGCTGAAAAAAAACCACCAAGTGAAGTTTTATTAGTTTTAATTGTTCATTCATGTGTTTATTCATTTATTCATGATTCTTTATTTCAGAAATACTGCCAGCCTCACACATGAACTGTTTAATCAGCAGAAGGACACTTTCTAATGCTGCAAAACTGTGCAAATCTGCTCAATTATTAATTTTTTATCAGTATGATGGCGCTGTCGCTTTTGTATTACTCTGCACGAGTGTTTCGCAGAATATCAGCTATGTGTAAAATAACAAAATAACGTACGAAGTGCCCATCTTCAATTCAAAGCTACTTGAACACGTTCCTTGAAGAACTTGCAAAAAACTAGAATAAGTGGACGTTCTACAATGCATTTGTGTATAATGGCAGGATTCTGGTGAGCACTGCGCCGATTACCCTTTTACCTTTGTCGGAATTTCGATGGTCAAATGTATGTTGCACGCGTTGACAAGAACTGTTGGACCTTCGTAACGAAGAACAAAGTTCTCGTCGAAGCCTCCTCAGTCCACACGAAGGAGCACTGTAAAGCGCGGAAATTCAGCTCGGATCCCCACGTCACCCTCGCACCCATAGCATGTTCTGCTAGGCGTGTAGTAGGCTGTACGTCAGGTCAACTTGCAGAAAATGTGGACCACGCACGCAGTAGAGCTCCACGGCTCCATAAGGCCTAATTCTTTTCAGGCCGACTGCGCGCACAGAGCACAATTCTAAACCTGAAACGAAGGTACAAATCTCTCTTTGATGATCGTGTCTTTTACTGGGCAGTCTGGCGAGGAACTGCCGCACCGCATCGTCTTCGACAACGAGAGAAAAGTTACACTCTGCAAGGAGGAGAAAGCTCTTGTAGCACTAAGGACACTTGAAACGCCGCAATTTTCGGAAACTAGTAGCTGAATATGAAGCAGCGAACACTATGCACATTCCAAGAAAAGATACTCAACAAATATGAAAGGCTTCAGACGTAAGTTTTTTAGCGAATATTATCATTGTTACAATAGGAACTAGAATAAAAGAGCCGTGGGTGCTTTGTTTAGGCATATAAATTCAGTACGAGCATCCTATACGGAAACAACGTGTTCTCATAATGAGGAGGAGACGCGGCGTTTCAGCGCGCCCGTGAGACGCATGTCACGTCGGCTCCGTCGGAAATCGACAAATGTTGTGGACTTTTAGCAAATATCCACCAGAAACCGGGTTCAGCATCTCGGCGAAGCCATCAGGAACCTCTGGATACCTATTTTATCCAGGTAGGCCCATTTTCCGCCAATCTACGACTGGTTAACACCACTCGACGCCCGAGCCCGGCTAAGCCTAACGCCGACGAGGCTTACGCCCGAGCTCCCCAGCCATGGCAGCGTCCACGAAGACAGGCTCCGACCCCAGCACGATGCAGTGGGGTGACATCGAGGTGGCAGAAACACGAGAAGACCCCATATCAGGCGAAGACAAATATCTTCAGATCATGGTTCGACAAATGCAAGAGAAGCTCGCTAAAATGAAGCCCCGAGGCTCGACGGCCGCCGCCCAGCCACAGGATCGCAAAACAGGATCAACACCCGCAGCTTGCGTTGAGTCCCCGCGGCAGCTGGCGACGTGGAAGCCAACACACACGCCTCGAATCCGGTCGGACGAGTTGGTTATTGTGCTTGACCAAAAATGACCATGGATCTGCACGCTGCGTTCGGCCCAGGCGGGATTGGCACAGCAGTGCAATGCTTCACCGGCAGCACCACGAACGCTGGTATCTCCTTGTGGCCGGTGTGGGACCAAAACATCGTTGTTGTAGGTGTGAAAACGGAAAGCCTGGCCTCGAAGCTCATCGGAGACATCACGCTGACGATCGGGGACCGCCAGGTACCATTTCAAGGACATTTGAAATCAGTCGGAGAAACCTGCAAGGGTGTCGTCACCGTCGCAGACAATGAAACTTCGGAATCCCTTCGACGCAAGCTCGAGTGGATCGACGGCGAAATTTTGTAGGTGCGAAAACTCGGAACATCCAACGTTGCAGTGGTGACCTTCAAAGGACGCCGCGTTCCAAGATTCATTCACTACTGCTCTGAAAACGTGCCAGTGCGCTACTACAAGAAATCGGTTCCGGCATGTTACCGGTGTGGAACGGTGGGCCACAGACCGGATGCGTGCCCCAATCCGGACAATCAGCGGTGCATTCACTGTGGTGCGAAGGTGGAACGCACTCCGGAGGGCCCAGCGAAGCACGACTGTCAACCCGAGTGCCTTATATGCGGTGAAAACCATTTGAACGGCTCAGCGCAGTGCGTCGAAAAATTCCGGAAGGCATGGAAGCCCGCTCTAACACAGCGGCAACATGGATTAAAAAACAAGCAAGAAGAGCCCTCAGCCCCTCTCAGGACTGACGAAAAAGCGAAGCCCATGCATAACAAGCCCAAGCCGATCAAAGCCCCAGCCGGACAGAAGTCGAGGCCTACCTTCGGCGCCGAGGATTTCCCGTCACTGTCAAACCCGCCCAAACAGGTGAGCAATTGGGTAGGGGTCTCCTCTCAGTCTTTCACCACCACCACTGCCTCCCCCTCCAATTCGGAAATTTTTAAATAATTGGAAGCCATGAAAAACGCATTGAAACTCTGGAACGCGAAAATCGGGCGCTGAAGGCGTCGCAGGCTGCTACCCCTCCACCACCGTCGGAACCGGTGGCTATGCACACCTCCGACTGCTCGGACGATGAGCAGGACACTCAGTCAGACGTATCGGGTAACACTAGTGTGTCTAAAACTGCAGTAGGTGCTTCGAACGACATAGAAGGTCGACTAAGCAGACTAGATGCTAAGCTTGAGGAGCAGAGCAAAATGATCCTAGAACAAACCAAGCTTACAGTACAAGACATTATTCCGCAGCAGCTGAACCTATCAGTTCAAGCCGCTATGCAAGATCTCAAGGAAAGCATTTTGCCAATTCTCACAGCCAGTGTACTACAAACCGTCCAAAATTGGCTCACACGCCAATTGGACCAACTCAAAACTAGCAATAAGACAATAGAACAACCCCGACGCAAAATTGTTCATCGTAACCTGGCAAATTCTGAATCCAAGAACAACATAGCCCAGCCGTTAACCAACCAAACTGAGTCCCCCACGCCTCTCCAGGCTCCCACGCTGGATGCAGTGGCAAAAATGACACCTCCTCGATAATAAATTCATTATGGTAGGCAATTATGAACATATTAATAAAAGCTCCGAACAACAGCAACTCGATATTCTCCAGTGGAACTGCAGGGGGTTTGAAGATAGGAAAAAGAGGGCCACTCGTAACCTTTTCCTGCAGAATCAACATTTTACCCCTGCAGTTTTGGCGCTACAAGAAACTGGCTTACAGGCAAAATTGCCTGGTTACAACTCATTTCAGGGAAGTGCGTCCACCTGTGTTCTCGTACGTAAGGAGTATACCGCTTGTCAGATAGACCTTGATCTGTCAGTGGCGCATGAATACACAATGGTCAATGTCCTTCCAAATAAAAGACGAGATCCTAGCTTGTACATTCTAAATGTATACAGTTCTCCAAAATCTAGGCAATGTATCTTCAACGAAATGTTTTATAAAGTCATTAAGGAAGCAGATAAGAACCCACTAGTGATTTTGGGCGACTTTAACGCACCCAGCTATCATTGGGGTTACACCCGCGAAGTCCCCAAGGGACGGAAATTGGCAGAACTCATGTCCACTCTTCGTCTATCGCTTCTCACAGATCCAATGAAACCCACTAGAATCGGGAATTCTGTAAACCGAGATACTTGCCCGGATCTATCACTGACTAAGAAAATTTCCTACGCAACATGGGAAAACTTAAAAGAAACGCTCGGCAAGTGATCACCTGTCTCCTCAGAATCACACTCTCCGGCAACATAGGCC